AACTTATCCAAATCACAAAATCTCATGAATAAAATCAACCTTACAAAAGGATGATAAAATCTAAAACTTATACCCCAATTGAATGGCTAGCCTTCTAATTCGTCACTCCCCTCGGTTTCCTCGTCCTCGGTTACGCTTCCTGAAATGGTGGACAAGGAAAACTATGAGATAACTCAGTAAGTAAATATGGATAGCCCTTGGGTAAAAACTTTTAAGCATGCCAGATAAACAGTTTAATATAACCAAAACGCTCAGTGACAAAATCAGATTCAGTTCAATTGCAAAGCATTCATGACAAACCGTTCATGCAGAATAAAACTCAGTTCAGTAGTCTCATCCATAAGTCATGGCCAGTGTTTAACACACTCCCACTGGCAGGCATCAATAATGGTACCAGTGTTTACAAACTCCCACTAGTAGGCGTCAGTAATAGTGCCAGTGTTTACAACTCCCACTGGCAGGCGTCAGTAATAGTGCCAGTGTTTACAACTCCCACTGGCAGGCGTCAGTAATAGTGCCAGTGTTTACAGCTCCCACTGGCAGGCGTCAGTAATAGTGCCAGTGTTTAACCCCATAGGCAGGGTGAACCGGTTCCACAGAAATACATGTCGACATGTGCTAGCGTTTACAGCTCCCACTAGCAAGCGTCAGTAATCATGACTATATCCGAGACAAATCCATGCAAGATTTACAGAAAAACCCGAATTTCACAATCAATCCCGAATTTCAGAACAAACCAGAAAATTTCCATGCGGGCATGGATTTAACAGAAAACTCAACATTTACAAAATTCTCAATTCATCAAAACAGTTCAGTCAATTCCCAAATAGGCATGTTCAACTCCAGAAAAACAATGAAATTCCCATTTTCATTTCTCAATCATGCTCATTTCCAGAAAATCAATAAAATCCTCATTTTCATTCCAATCATGCTCAATTCCAGAAAAACAGTGAATTTCCCATAAAACCCATCACAATTTGCATTCCAGTTTAATCACACTCAAATGCCGATAAAATCAATTTAAACCTTGCCACCATCTCAAAAACAGTTTAAAACATGCTTTAAAATCAAAGGGCTTTACCATAATTTACTTACCTCACTCGCACAGAACAGAGGGCTAACCCAAGTGCTATGGTGACAGAACCATCAAAACCTAATCACAATATTCCGAAGTTAATACCGCACTACCACAAAATCCAAAGTAAAATCATCTTTAACACTACCCCTAATCACGGTGCTATTTCTATCAATCTTCGCATAACCGGACATCTCCAAATTTATCCTTATATCACAAACTAAACCTTTAAATCCCCGTTAATCGTTAACCCTCGGTGTGAGCTTAAAACGTGTTTTATGCTACCCAAAATCATCCCATAATTCTAGCACAATCTCGGACAACACAAGCAACTAAATGGACAATACTTAGTTGATAATTAGACATAAAAAGGCTGTCCATCATACCAGGAAACTCCGGCAAGCAGCACCGGGTCCAGCTGGGAAGGAAGCCGACGGGGAGAGAAATGGAGGAACTCACGGTAAACCTCAAAATTCAAGAACCCACAACACAATTAGAGTAACCCAACTTGAATTAAGGCTAAAGGGATGATTCCTAGTTGTTCCCTTACCAGAAAACCGAGAAGCTCTCCACCGACAAGAGCAGCTCGCTGCAGGGGAAGGAAGAGCAGAACAGATCCGGGATTTCTGGGTTTAATAGCTGGTCTAGAACAAGAAAAGGGGAGAAATCCCCAAGTTTTACCGGTGTCCCCGGCCGGAAATGGATGGCGGTGGCTAGGGAGCTTCGGTCGGCTGCAGGGGACGGAACAGAGCAGAATCGGGATTTTCTGGGTTGAGGGGGAAGATTCTAAGCCCCAAATCTTGTGATTGAACAAGAAAAGGAAGGAATTCCATCAAGATCTCACCGACTTTTCAAGGAGAAGAAAGTCGGTGGCTTGGGGGGGGCTTGTCGGGAGGAAGAAGATAAGCAGAAGCAGAAACACGCGGCTGATGAGGAAGAAAAGAAAGAAAAAGAAAAGAAAAAGCAATTCATCCTTATCCTAATTTCCTTTCTTTTTGGCCCCTCAACTTTTAAAAGTTTTACGATTAAGCCCCAAAACAATATTTTCCCTCAAATAAGTCCCCAATTTAATGCTAAAATATCCCCAAAATTTTGGGATATTACAGCCCTACACTAATTGTCTTCACATTATAATCATGAAATGTTTTTAAACTCACACAAATAATCACAATAATTGAACTTTTCAAAAATCTCCTACACTTTGTTTGCATTAAGGGAGACCAACAAAGAGGGATGAAGAGTGAAGGGGACGGATGATAATTGAGGGGAAAGGAAGGGCTTATTTCAAAATACCATTAAAGAAATTGATTGTATGGTGTCACAAAATCAAGCATCATTGAAAGATTTTGGGATTTATGATGTTGATGTGGATCCTTTAACATATATTGGGAGTCCTTCAAATGTGGCTAGTAGTTCAAAAACCAAAACAAAAAAATAAAATAAAATAAAATAAAGAAGTCACAAGAAATTGAAAATAAAGCATTAGGCATTAAGGAAGCTATTAATAATGTAGCAAAAGCACTTTTTTGAAGGGAATTCATGCCCTCCACTTTCAAAGTCAAAAGTTTGGAATATGTTGGAGGATTTTAGATTAGAGTTAGATCAAGTTATCACTACTTATTTATATCTACTGGAGCATTCAGATAAATTAAGAGTAGTACTTGGATGTCCACCTTGGAAGCACATGGTTATTGTTACAAGGACTATTTTTGGCACTTCTTGATCTAGTTGCTCTTGAAGATAATAATCACTTTTATTTTTTTGGTTAGACTATTCTATTTTGAATATTTTATTTTATATTTGAATAATCTTTTTTCAATTTGATTGTAATTAGGTGGGCAAAAACCCAAACTTTGCCTTTCAACTTTTCAGCATTGAGGGCTTTTACCCTTCTATTTTTTGAGTTTAGGATAATAAGGCAATATTTAACGTTAAAGGGTCATGTACAACATGTGCACCATTGGCTTCTATGTTGGTGCCATGTTGGATGTGTGTTACATGTTAGCTGTGCCAACTTGGATCTTCGTGAGTCGATATTCTACCACCTACAATTTAATGTGGGTCTCATGCTAAGAAATTTTGAAAACAAAAAAAAAAAAAAAAAAAAAGAGAGACAAAACTACTACTCCCTCTATCCCAAAATAATTTTATTTTTTTATTTTGAATTTATTTCAAATTAATTATGGTTTTTTCATTTTTCAAGGTAAATAAATATTTTTTCTCTACTTTAATCCTATCAATATCCATTCATTTTAATTAATTGTTCCATCACAAAAAATATTTTTTTTATTCTTTTTTTAAGAGTATTATAGATAAATACAAATATTGTCCTAAAATCCTTAATTTGGGAAAAAAAAGTCAAAAAAAAAGAGGAGAGAATGAGTATTTTATTTTGTGAAATTATTATTTTGCCAAGTTATTTAAACAAGACAAGATTCTTTTTCTTTCCAAATTTACCTTTTATTATCCCTTTTCCTTTCCCATCTCTAGCCATCACACTTTCATCGGCAAAAACCCCACACCACTACAATAAGATTTAGGGTTATAAATTTAAGATTACAAATTTGGGTTATAGATTTGCGGCTACTTTTTCATCTACCTTTACCAAGTAACCCCACTATCCTCTTTTCTAAATTTGCAAAAACCCCAAATCTATAACCCCACCATCCCTTTCTCTCCCCCAGCCTAGCTTTGCTTTTCTATTAGTGGCTCCTCCTTTTGTATTTGTCACACCCCAAAACCGGTAGCGAAATAGACGTCGTACACTTGTGAGAAGATCCCATAAATGCACAAGGCTTGGAACTTGTTTAATTCATAAGCTATAATTAATATCTGGCAATCCACTAATCTCAAATTAATATCTCAAAATAAAATCTAGCTTTTATAATCCAAGCTTGACTAGGCCAAAAGTGCACAAAAATTTTACAACTTCATCAATATAGTCATGACTATGTCCAAGGGAAATCTAGTCTAGCAGGCCTATCTCCAAAATGAACTAAATCCAAAATATAAGTGGCTAGCCTTTTGGCTCGTCACTCCTCTTGGTTTCCTACGTCTTTAGTCTCACTACCTAAATGGTGGATAAGGAAAAACTATGTGAAATAACTCAGTAAGTAAAATATAAATAACCCTCACTGAAATTTAAAGCGCTAGGTAAACAATTAAATTTTAAACAGGAGGAAAATATCAGTTGTAATTCATTTATGCATACTAAAATTTATTAGTGGTCCCCTCAATTAGTGCTGGCCAGTGTACTCTCCTAGGTGACTAGATAACAAAAATACCAATGTACTCTCCCATTGGCTAGATAGCAGAAGTACCAACATACTCTCCTACTAGCTGGATAACAAAAAAAACAGTGCACCCTTGCATTGGCAGGATGAACTAGTCCTATAGAAGTACATGTCGACATGTGACAGCGTTTACAACTCCTACTGGTGAGCATCAGTAATCATGACCATATTAGAGACAAAACCATGCAGGAGTTCAACAGGAAAATCTATAATTTACAAATATGCAGAAGTTAACAAGAAAGTCATAACTTACAAACCAATTTTCAAATTTCCAAAACAAACAAGTAAACTCCATGTAGGCATGCTCAACTCAATAAAGATAATAACAACTTCATTTCAAACCCTTAATGCTCATGTGCTAATAACAATCAGTTTTGGTCTCGCGACCATCTCAAAAACAATTTAAAATATGCTTTTAAAACCTTCACCTTAAAATCCAACTGCATTTACCATAGTTTTACTTACTTCGTCTTGTAGGTATACAATAAGAAAGGAAATCAAGAACTCAAGGCTCTTGAGATGATTTAGAACCTATACCACATCAAATGAATAAACCATAGTACAACATACTTCATTTAACTAATTTGGTTTCTAATTCTAGAATCAAGTTCCTAACCAAAGAAACAACTTCCTCCTACACTTCTCGGTCACTTCTATGGTTAATCATACTTAAAATACACTTAAAATAGCTCCAAATGTCATATGAAATAGTAGGTGTTCCAAATAGATTTTTTGGGTAGAATAATGTGGAAAAATGAGAGAATCCAAACTTAAAACTACCCCAAATAGTAACACAAAAGTTGGGTAGCAAGGTGGGAGTTTCCACCATTTAAAATGGTCTCAAAATGCTTGGAAAGAGCCCTAAACAATAGGGATTTTCTAGCAAAAACAGCAGTGAAAATGGTGTAGAAAACAAATCAAAACTAGGCAGTATTTAAGTAGACATGCAGCAGCAAAAAGGTAGCAAAATAAAGCAATAACAAGGGGTTTTAAAGTAGGAAAACAGCAGCTAAAGGTTTAGTAAGGCCACGATGCGAGGTGACAATAGGTGCTGTGGGAATAAAGCAGAAGACAAAGCAAATTTCTAGGCACTTTTGAGGGAAAGTTTTTGTCAGATTTTGAACTAGAAGTTCCAATAGAATTCACGCCTAGAAATTGATCAATTTGGGCTAAATGGTCAACAGATAAATTCTAGCCCCATGTCTTAACTTTTTAAAGGATCAAGAATCACCTTAATGTGACATCTACAGATAAAGTTATGGTCAGAATACTAAGGGCCTATTTGGTGGAGCTTCTTGGAGCTTTTACTTTTACTGTACTATTTATAAGTGATAAGTTTAAATTTTTATTGGAAGGAAAATTTAAAAGTTGCTTTTAGAAATAGAAAAAAAGTGAGTAAGAAGTGAGTAAAAAAGAAGTTTAGTAAAAAAGAAGTTTATAAAAAGCAAAAATTTGAAACTTTTCAAAATTTACTATTTAAGGTCTTTTTAAGTTCAAAAATAAGTTAAAAAATGTACGTTTTTAAGAGCAAAATTTAAACTTATGAACATGAATAGTGTCAAAAAGCTAAAGCACTTACAAGCTTCACCAAACATGCTCTAACTTAAGGTTGAGCTGCCAGTTCCATCTGCCTTTAGAAACCGAATTTGCAGTAGAGTTTTCACCTTGAAAACAGCTTAATTGGGTTAAATGTCCAATAGAAAAACTGTAGAGCTATCTCTTAACTTTCCATAGAATCAAGAATAGACCTAATCTAATAGCTATAGAAAGAGTTATCAGCAAAACACTACTATAAGGTCATGCTGTTAGAATTTCCAGCAAAAAGGAAATCAGATTCTGGTGGTGCTAGATTATGGGCAAAATCAAGGGGGAACTACAGAAAAATCCCAAAATTGAAAACTCTAAAGGATTAGAGTTAATCCAATTCAAATCAAGGATGAAAAGATGAGCAATATGGCTAAATTCTTATTAGTAAATGCTGGAAAATGGCAACCTTCTCTTACATTGCTGAAGAACTTGACATGGACTTAAAAATTGGGGAATATTAGCAGCAATATTTAGATATGATCATGATTTTTGGAACCCTAAGACTATAAATCTCTAAATCAGACTTGGAAGAATAACTAAATCTCACCTGATTTCTGGTGAGAAGAGGCTAGGCATAGGCTATGGCTTGTGGAGGAAAATTTTGGTGAGGGCTGTAGGGTACTCACATAAGAAGCAAGAGTAAAACTGAAAGATCAACCTTAACCCCTTTATATCACTAGATTTTCTCTTTTAATACCCCTAAGGTTTGTAAAATTTAGTTATTAGGCCCAGTAATAATAATTTCTATCCCATAAGTCCCTAATTTAAACTCTAAAATTTTAGGATATTATAGTATTGTTTAGGATACTATTTATGTTCACATTTCTTACCAACCAAAAAATCCAAGGTCACCCCTATTCATCCCCACAACAAGCACATCGATTTTGTCCCTAAATGGCAAGCTTCATCCTACTCTGGTGGAGGAGATCTTAGGAGATAGTTGCATTGGTTTAACACCATTGTTGCAGAAGATAATGGCTCAAATCAAAATGGAAGTAATGTAGATGTCCGCTAACCAATTTGTCAAGTTTCCCTAAATTCTTTGATCTTTTCACTCAATTCTTTTCTTTCATTGCCCCATTAGAAAAGAGATTTTGCTTGTTTTGGATTTTATACAAACAAAAATTGAAGAGTTTTCACCATTCTCCTTCTTTTTCTTAGTAATATTTTTTTTTTGTTTAATGAAGAAGATGAAAAATCATGCTTCTTGGTTTGATATCTTAAAGAATAGATGTATGATTCATTTATTGATTTTTTTTTTTAACAGCTTAGATTGATTCTTGGTATGCTCTAGATGATGAAGAATGATGAGCTTCCTAGTGATAATGGATAACCTAGGTCAATTGGATCTTGTTATTAGGTCCTTGAATTTGAATTTGATGAAAACTCATTCTTTTTGCTAATATTAATCATGTATGTGATTTAAATCTTCGTTTAGATGTCATTTTCTTGTGGTTGTTGTGTAAAGTAAACAAATGAATAATTTTAAGCTCTTCACCAAAGAAACTAGAGACATTGGCCTGCAAAAGGAGGACATTGAATGGAAAAGATAAGTGTAATATCCCAAAATTTTGGGGATATTTTAGCATTAAGTAAGGGACTTAATTGAGGAAAAATTTTATTTTGGGGCTTAATCGTAAAATTTTAAAAAGTTGAGGGGCCAAAAAGAAAGGAAATTAGGATAAGGATGAATTGCTTTTTCTTTGTCTTTTTCTTCTTTCTTTCTTCCTCCTCAGATCCGCGTGCCCTGCTCTTCCTCTTTCCCCTGACCCTTTGCACCCGACGAGCCTTGTTACCGCCCCCCTTTTTCCGGCCGGAAATCCTGCAAAGCTTGGGGATTTCTCCTTATTTTCTTGTTTTAAAACACCTGTTGAACCCAGAAATCTCCCTCCCCTGCTGGAAAATCCGGATCTGCCCTGCTTTGCTCTGCCCTTCCGCCGGCTGCTCCTACCTTGTGGGGGTGATTTGCTCCGATTTTGGGTAAGAAATAGCCATGAATCTCCCTTCTCTAGCTTTGATTGCCTTGGGTTTATGTTAATTGCTCTTATTTCCTGGAATTTTGGGTTAAAGCCGTGAGCTTTCTTCTTCCATGCCGCCGGCAACTTCCCCAACCTGCAGTCCGGTTTCTTTGCTTGCAAATTCTGGTATGTGGCAGCCTCTTTAAGCCTAAATTTAGCCATTTATGTGCTGCCTCTGTTGTCCGTGAATTGCTGGAAAAATGGGGGATAATTCCGGTAGCTTTAGGATGAGATTTAAGTATTAATTCAAGTGGGAATTATGT